GGATCTCAACCTGCCAAAGATTAAAACTAGACCCTTATCTCTCACCATGCACTAAATTAAAATCCAAGTGGATTAAAGATCTAAATATTAAAAAAGAAACACTAAACTTGCTGGAAGATAAGTTAGGCAGAACTCGACATTGGCATAGGAAAAGATTTTATGAATAAATCCTCAGTAGCACGGGAACTAGCAGATAGAATCAACAACTGGGATCTCATCTTATTAAAAAGCTTCTGCACTGCAAAAGAAATCGTCAACAGAACTAAGAGACAACCTACAATGTGGGAAAAAATTTTTACCAACTGCTCCTCAGACAAAGGACTATTATCTAGAATATATAAAGAACTCAAAACAATCCGCACCCCCAAATATAAAGACCCAGTTAAAAAAATGGGCATCTGAAATGAACAGACATTTCTCAGACAAAGAAGTAAAAGCAGCAAGTAAATATATGAAAAAATGTTCCCCATCACTGGTCATTCGAGAAATGCAGATGAAAACAACACTGAGATTCCACCTCACCCCACAAAGAATGGCTGCTATCAAGAAATCAACCAATAACAAATGTTGGCAGAGTTGTGGGGAGAAAGGAACCCTTCTTCATTGTTGGTGGGAGTGCAGACTGGTGCAACCACTATGGGTGGAAATCAACATGGAGATACCTCAAAGAGCTAGGTCTAGAGGTTCCATTTGACCCAGCCATCCCTCTGCTGGGTATCTTTCCAAAAGAATTAAAAGAATCATATCACAGTGACATATGTGTACCTATGTTTATAGCGGCACAGTTTGTAATAGCTAAAACTTGGAAACAGCCCATTTGCCCATCAATTGGAAACTGGATAAAGAAGATGTGGTTTTTCTATAAAATGGAATACTACTCAGCCATAAAGAATGAGAAATTAGGTTCATTCATAGGAAAATGGATACATATTGAGGATATACTCAAGTGAAATAAATAAGTCACATGTGTAAATACTGAATAGTTTCTCTGGTGTGAAAAACTATAATAGTACACAAGAAGCTAATGGAATAATTAACAATGTGAAATAGGAAGAAAAGGGATAAAGGTGTAGGGAAAGCAGGAAGGGTAGGGGAAAGGGAATAAGGGGAAAGAAAAAAATATGACAAAATGAAAAAATGGAAATAAAGTATTTGTAAATGGGGAGGGGAGGAGGGGGTGAAGGGAGGGCAGGGACAAAGGGAAAAAAATGAGAACCAAGACCTGTCATGTAAAGGTACAAGATCCCAGTAAAGAATGTAACTGCACTGTACACCTAGAATGTACCAATAAACTCAATAAAAAGAAGTTAGATCTTTTCTTAATTACAGTTATGTTTTGGAATAAGGAATTTTTTGTTTTTGTTTTGAGGCAGGTTCTATGTTGTTCAGGCTGGCTTTGAACTCATTGCAATCCTCCTGCCTCTGCCTCCTGAGTGCTGGGATTACAGGCTTGTGCCATCACACTCAGCTGAGGGAGTATTTTTTGAATAAGGTTTTTAATCTTTTAGAATGACTTTCTCTCTCCAGAATTCGAGTCCCAAGAGAACCACCTGAATCCCTTCCAGTACTTGAATCCCCTACTAAATCTCTTCTGAAGGCAGTGCCCCCCAATAACCTGTGGGCCTTACAGTAGGCCCCACCTCTTAAAGATCCCACCACTTCAATATTAGCACATTAGGGACCAAACCTCCAGCACATGAACCTTTAAGGGAAATGCGGAAATCTGCCTGACAGGGCATTTAACAGATAATATCAAATAGCCTATGTTAAGTGCATCACAGGACCGGGACAGAATAAATGCTTAAGTAAATAACGACATTGAAAATAACAATACATGGGCCAGGGATTTAGCTCAGTGGTTCCGCTGCCTGCCTCTGCCTCACAAGCACAAGGACCCAAATTCAATCCCTGTGTACCAAGAACAAACAAAGAAACAAAAAAACAAAAACAAAAATAACAATAAAGAGAATCATTTTTGTATATTTGAGACTACATCAGGTGAGGTGTGGAACCTGACCTTAAAACCAAATGCAGCATGCAGACTTTCCTGACTGTGCTGTGTGGATGCAGATTCCTGCCGGTACTGACTTTCAGGGGGTGAAACCTAGAATCTGCATTTGGCTAAGCTCCCTGGAAAATCATGGTCACTACCATTGATTAGGAAGTATGGGTTACAAGATATTAAGGAGGTATAAGAGAACCAAATGATACTAGAAAAGGAATGGATGCTAAATACCCTGGACTCAGAGAAAAGTGGCATCGCACTGTGAATCTTGAGCCTAGAAACTCAACACGATGCCTTAGCAAGGGCAGAATTGGTAGTGGTGGTTGTATGATGGTTGGACAGTGGGTCATTACATGTGGCTTTCCTGGGAATGGTGTGTGCCAGTGCCAGGTGACTCCTAAAGAAAGGCCATAGGCCACAGCTTCTGAAGATGAAGTTGAGTTTAGCTCCTGACTTCATTTCCATCCCATCCCTTGGGTTAGGTGGCCCTGCACATCCACCCCAGGGACCCCGAACCATGGCCAATCTTATTCTTATGAAGTGGGGACCTAAACCACCTGATTGTTTCTTCTTTAAGAATAGAGATTAATCTATTAGTTATCATTTTTTGTTTTACTTTTTTTTTGTTGAGACAGGGTCTCACTATTTAGTTGAAACTGACCCGGAACTCACTACGTAGCCCCAGCTGGTCTCAAACTCACAGCGATCCTCCTGCCTCAGCCTCCTGAGTGCTGGGATTACAGGCCTGCGCCATCACGCCCAGTTAGTAATCATTACTTTTAAGCAAGGTCACCAATATTGTGTTAACATTTTCCTCCAAGGCAAGAGTGATACTGTGTAAAGCCTCCCTTTAAAGCTCTTAAGGATTCTGCTGTTTCCCTTTCTCCTTTAGAAGGTGGGGTGGTGTCATTTTGTTTAAAGATTCAATGAGGGCCAAGAAGCCCCACGTGGGGGGTGATTTTGCCTTTGAGAAAGTAATACACACCAGACTAAGACCCTGTTACAGCCTGAATCTGCAACGTCTTCCAAAATCTCTTATGTTAAAAGGCTTGGTCTCCAATACAGCAGTGTTCAGAAGCGGGATTTCGAAAGCCAATTGGACCATAAGTGCCCCAAGTGCATCAACACATAGATGATTTCCAATTTGATGGGCTCTTTGCAAATGTTGGAAACTCAGGTGGGACCTAGTTGGGGCATGCCGCTGGGGATTATATTTTATTCCTGACCCTGACCTCTTTCTCCTTTGTGGCCGCCATGAAGTGAGCCATGTTCCTCTGCCCAACCACAGGTTTAAAAGAAATAGAGCCAGCTGATCCTGAACTGAAACTTCTGTAACAAGGAGCCAAATCTTTCCTAGTTTTAAGTTACGTCAGGTGTTTGTTATGGGACAAAGTGAACAGTCCTGTATATTCCCGGAGCAGAGGTCTTGGGTAGTTCTACCTCCCCTCCAACACATGTTCCTGCCCAACACTAGGCAACACCATCCAGATTTTCAAGACTCCTTGAAGTTTCTGTCTTAGGTTACAGGGCTTAAAATACATGGGAGGTAACCAACAAATACAAGCAAGCTTTCTGAGCACTGGAGTTCAAAGAATGAGGGTATCCTAGGTCCTGAAGAGGAGTAAGCCTATTCTTGGGCAACATCCACACATCGCTTGCATGGGTTTTTCTTTGACCCCAAAGCCCCCGGCCAAGATACCCCAGTATGAAGCTACGCAGTCTTTCGTTAGCCAAATAAAATCCACAGACACTCCATTTCACAACGAGGCTTGAAACCAGTCAAGCACTTTTTTTTTATTAAAAAAAAAAAAAAAACAGAAAAAGTCTAATGGTAAAGTATATATTCTCTACATGCTACAGTTAGTTGTTCATCACCCACCCCCCTCACATTAATACTCATGTTCTGTGTTACAAGGAATCAAAAGGTGCCACCAGAATCTGTCATTTTCCCAAGAGGGTGTGAGAAGTGCTGAGATATCCAGGGATCCCCAGCGTCGAGCAGATACAAGCTGGTGGGACAGTGCTGAAGGGATGTTAGAAGTGACCGAGTTACTAGGTAGCTCCCTGAAGCAGGAAATGTGGCCTGCAGCTAAGGTGAACAGAGTTATCACCACTCCTCCAAGTGGAAGGAGTTGCTACTAATAATTACAGGGCACAAAGGCATAAACAGGTATACACGGGTAAACTCTGGACACCTTTGTTGCATTAGAATTGCTTATTGCTGTAGTCAGCCTGCTGGGGGCACCTCCTGTTTTAAATGTATCAGAGATGTGAATTTGAAGGCCACTGTGTCTGGTCTTTTCAAGGACAAAAGAGGTTAAGCCCCTCATCTCTGGAGCTCAAAAGGCTTGTTTTGGAGTAGAAGACAGACAGGTAGAGGAAGACAGAATAGTGAAATGTGATGAGGGGCCTGATCCCTTGGCAGGATAGCACCAGACCAGACAGTCACCCCATGAGGCTGGAAGGTCAGCCTGTGGAAAGCATGCTCAGTAAGTGGCCCAGCAGGTGAGGAGTAGGGAAGCCTGTCCTTCCCCCATTCAAACTCTGCACCTCTGCTTAGGACCCTCACCAGCTGTCAGTCTAGCTCCTTACCCAAGTGAAGACCAATTCCTCCAAGACAGTTCAAGGCAGATACAGACCTCAGTGCTAGCCAATATCCCACTCACCAAGGCCACGGTCCTCTGACACCAAGTATCTTTGGTTTATGTATGGTATGGCTGTCCACAGTACACACAAAAGCACTGAAGGGTGGGCTTGGACAACTAGCAAGGGGGCCAACACTGCCGCACAGAGTTCAGGTTGTTAGGTGTCTGCTGTCATAGTCCAAAGAGAAGGACAAGGCCTCCCATAGGGCAGTCTGCTCTGACACTGAAGACTTGGCACAGGGCCAGGGATTTAGCTCAGTGGCACCACGCCTGCCTTGCAAATGCAAGGAGTTTGATCCCCGGTACCAAAAAATAAAATAAAATAATAAAATAAAAATAAAGAGACTTGGCACAAAGAAAGAAGGGAGAATCAAGCCATAAGGTGTTTTTTTTTCAGCGATGGGGATCTGACTTGGGGCCTTAACTAGGCAAACACTACCAATGAGCAACACTCCCAGCCTGTTCTCAATAATGTCACGTTGCCAGCTTATTGAAGGAAGGAGCGATTTCTGCTTTATTCCTCATTACTGGGTACTTGATATTAAATACTAGGCCAATAAATTCAGTCCAAGGACCTTCTGAAGTCCTGGGGAGATATGACACCTGCCTTGTAAGGCGGCATGTGTACTTTGCCATGTCCACCTGGTTTATATATGCTATGACTGAAATTCCCAATGGACTCAGAAGATTGTTAAAGGCCAAAGACTTTGCCCTGCAAATCAATTCTATACAGCAGCCTTTTAGCAGAAGCCTAAAATGACTACTGAAAGCTAGGCATGGGCTCTAGAATTTTCTAGGAGGGTAGGGACATAAAAATGGTTTAAGCAGGAGCTCAGTTCTCCCCAAGTCTCACCTTAAAACAATGACATAAATCTACCAAATGGGAAATAATGATTCTAAACAATCTGAGCCTTGAATTCAGATATTCTAAATATCTGGTGGCTCTACAACATGCTGGATGTACATTTGCCTGCAGATGTAAGATAAAGTAGTCATCACAAGGTAGTGAGCAGGGGCGAGGACAGAAAAAGCTACCTCTACCCCTGCCTACTCCTTGGGCTTGGCACTTGGTCTGTGACCTACTGAAAAGTCTGACCAAGGTATGGAGGGTGACACCTCAATTTACTCCATTCCCTACAAACCCTATGCACATCTCACTGCTGATGGTGGCAGAAAATAATGGACACAAGGGAGAAAACCACCTGGATTTGAGTCCCCGTGTGGCCATTATCTGGACAAAGACAGGTCTGTGACTTCACTCAGTGAATCTCATTTCTTACTACATGTCAGGTTCAATACTACTCACCCCATAAGGCTGTCATGAAGATCAAAGAGGGAGCATGTTTAAGCACCAGTGACCTGCCCAGAGCTTGATATGGACATTGCTATGATGGCCCAGGACTTTCCCATGGCCCTGGCTCCAGGAGTTTTGCTTATATTTCATTAATTGCTCCCAGACTAGTAGCCATGGTTCTGATGCTGTAAACTTAAGTCCCTAGCCAAGGACAGCTAGGAGACTCACTGGCCATAGAGACTTAGTACTTCCAGTTGTCTGGGGGAGTATCCGCCACTGTGGCAGATCATCCTAAGGCCATCAATATGACTGGAGGCAAGAACAGTGAACAAGGCTTCTGTATCTATAGTTCACATTAGCATAGTAATAATAGTAGTGGAAAAACCAGTCTTTTTCGACTTGCAGGGAAATGTCTGCCCACAGGAAATTAGAGCAGGTCCATTCCCACCTGGATGACCTGGTGGAAGGAGGTGAGGTGAAAGATAAACCTTCAGCAGTGTTGGCAGACACGACTCACAGCTCATGACACCAGGATGGAGTCATCACACCCTGGGCTACCCAGTGCCACCATATAGTAGGTGTGAATGCAATACTTAAATCATTGAAAGCCCAAATCTCTCTCTCTCTCTCTCTACACACACACACACACACACACACACACACACACACACCCAAGTAGTTTTGTCCCTTGAAAGTTAATCAAACCCTGCAAAACAGTTTCACAAAGGCTGACTAAGCCAAAGTGGGTCAAAAATTGAGGAAAACCATGCTATGGGACCTCCTTCCATGTAGGGGGACCTTGAAGAGGTGGGTATCCCAGGCTCCCTCTCCCCAAGTGCCACTTTTCCTCAAGGTCCTGGGCACCAGTCAAGGGACAAGAGATCTTTCAAGAAGCACCTCAGGTTTGTCCCAAATTCCCTGGGGCGCAGTCTATACAGGCTGAGCAAAGGAACCTCCTACTGTGGGCAAAGCCAGAGCCTGTGTGGCATATGGTAGGGACTGGGGCAGGGGATGCACAAGGGCTCTTTGCATAAAATCTTTGGCACTGCATGTAGATGCAAGCAACACCAGGTAAGCTGGCTTTGTGGTGCCAAAAGCATCCTAGCAGATGAATGTTGTGAATGGGAGATCCCTGAGGCAAGCAGGGCAGAGTAGGATGAGATTCCCTCCTCTTCTGCAGGGTCAGTGGGATGAAGGGCTTCTAATCTCACCTCCTGATAGCTGGTTTGTAGGCATGAGCTCTGGGCTGTGAGCTAGGGGGCCTTGATATTAGCTCTGTAGATCTAACTTAACCAGATTTGCCAAAAGGGTGGAAATGCTGCTCTAGGTGCTCCCAGGGAGAGTGCACACATAGCGACAACTACTCTAGACATGCCAGAAAGGAGCAGGAAGCCACAGCAGGGTCACTCGGGACGAGTCTGCTGGGCTCCCTTGTCTCCTTCCCGGGATACTGCTTATTGTTTAGTTTGGCACAGACCCAGTTGCTGGTCCTTGAGCTGACAGAGAGCCTTGCACAATCTCCTTGGGGACACCAGCATGGGGTCAGGAAACAGGGTTCTGAGCTAACTAACATGATCCCAGGGCTTCCCCTGCCCTGGAGAATCAGTTGTTGAGGGTGCAAGGCAGACCTCACAGGGGTTGAGAGGGAAGGTGGTGTAGGAGCAGCCACAAGTGACTCCTTTACCCAGAGAAGCTTCATGGCCATCTGCTCCTGGTACCCAGACAGCTTCCAACTCTTCCCTGAGACTTTGCCTCTTACAGGGGGTAAAGCACAGGTATTCAAAATCCTCTTTCCTCCTCTTCCCAGCTAGTATGTCCTTAGGTCCACGAAGCCCAAGTCTCATCGATAAAATGGGTACAGTATCAAAAGGGAGGGCGGTTGTGAGGGTTAAAATACAAATGCAAACTGCCAAGTACACTGTTTGGCATCTACTAACTCCTCAGCCAAGGGGCATTCGTGCGGGGTGTGCCTTTTGAAGGGCGCCTGATCCAAACAGACTTGGAGTCTTTCGTTCTAGGTAGACAAGAATGAAATGGCCCAAACAATAGTAGGAATTCTCATTTAGAACTCCTGGAGGGACAGAAGCTTGCACAAGGGAAATGTAGTATGCTTGGGACTGAAACCACCCTTTCAGGAGCAGTCATAGTCCCAAAGTAGAAGATGGTAGGCAGGATGGCCAAGTAGACTTCTAGCCCACTCCTGGGTAGCTGCATTCAGTTGAGCCTCAGAAGCTGGAGGACCCAAGGTCTTGGAGAGGAGGGCTCTTTCCTGGGGACTGGCAACAGAGTGGACTTCTATAGGACATTGTTCTTCCCAAACCAGGTAATTTGAAACAGTGAATAAAGCCACTGGCTTTTAGATATATGAAGGAGTAAGGGCAAGTTGTCATGGGAGCTGACCCTTACCATGCCTTGTCCAAGCAATGAGACCCTGTCTGGAGTCTTTCCAGGAGATAGGCCTAGGGCTGGAGGCCTGGAAAAGTCACTGTCCTGCTGCTGGGTGGCAATGCCACTGGCCAGGAAAAGGAGTTTTCTTAAAGGAATGCTGATGTGGATTATTATCTGGCAAGGGCTGTGGTTTCAGAGCTCCAGAAATTCTGTAATGGGAGGCTCAGACCCCAGGGCTCCTGACATCTCAGCCACTCAAGGAGGGAAGAAAATAGCACTCCAGTAGCTTCCCTGTTTGAAACTGCATGGAAACTGATAAATTAGGATGCATATTAAATACATGGGAAAAGCTAGCAGGAATCAGCAGGACCTCCTGGCAAGAAGGCAGGAGGCTATGGCTTCTTTCTGAGATAGTTGGAAGGAATCCAGCCTTCCCAGGAAGGGGCCCCACTAAGGACATGGCAGAACCACCAGCCACTGCTATTCTTTTCCCGGACTTCAAATACCGTCCCTTCCTGGAAGCTGCTGGTATCTTCATCTCCTTCAAAATTGGCTACAGCCACATACAAAGAGTCCTTTGGGCCATCAGCACTGGGGAAGGAGGCCGCGGCTGCTTTCTCCCTGTTTTCTCCCATCTTGCCAGCTACCCGTGACCCCAGCCCACCTTTGCCTCGTATGTCATCTTGGCTCCCAGAAGAGTTGGAGAGAAAAGGTTTGGCTTTGGGAGGGACCAGGAGGGCACGGCCAGGGGCAGGAACTACCCTGCTTTCATTGGCTTCAGGTGGTGGCCCTCTGATCTCTGGAAGGGGCCTGGATGATGATGAGGTTTTCTTAGGGGGTGGTGGTCTTCGGGGTGGGACCACAGGTCTCTGCGGGGTAGGGTCTTGGAGAGGGATGGGAACACTTTTAGGCCCAGCCTCCGTGGTCTTGGCTGGCTTTGGAGGAGGTCTACAGGATGTTTCCCTTGGGTTGAGCCCATCCTGTCTGCCAGACCTGTCCTGGGCACGGCCAGGTCCCTCCCCTGGGAGGAAACTTCGGCTGAAGGCCATGTCTTGGCCTCCAACAGCCTGGTGGCCCTCTCCATCCAAAAAGGATTTCTCTTGGGACTTGGCAGGCCTGAGCTTACTCCTGAGGTTGCAGATGTCCACTTGGTCTTCGCCCTGAGGTGGCTCTGTCCGGGGAGATGGAGCTGGTTTTGGCCTAACTTGAGGTTTAGACTTCAAGAATGGATTCTGGGGAATGGCTTCTGGCTTATCCTCTAGTGGCTCAGTTTTGGATTTGGAGATGGGTCGGAGATTGGGCTTCTTCACTTCCTTTGCCAATACTTTGTGGCCACACTCTAGCCCCATGTCATTTTTGAGTTGGAACAATTTGCTTTTGTCAGGTTTGGGTTCGGGCCTCCTGTTGTCCCGGGCTGAGGGGGCATGCTTGGTTGGAATCATTGGCAAAATCATGCCAGGAGACTTGGCTGAAGAGCTCCGGAGCTGCTCCATCCTCTGCCGCTCCCTCTCCAGGAGCTCTCCTTCTGACTTGATGATAGATTCTTTCCTCGGGGGGAGGCTGGGCTTCTCCTCTAAGTCAGGGTCCAAGATCTCCTCATAACCTGCTGATGCAGACATGTCTGCCTTTCTTAGGGCCTCCTTCCCACCTTTCCAGTCTTTGGACCATGGCATCCCTGAGTCCATGGCACCATGAGGTGCATTGGGCAGGGGCCGAGAGGGACCCACAGTTTCACTGCCTATATTGTTCTCCATTGCTGCTGCATCTCTGAGTCGGAGCTGGGTCACCTCGTGGGGCAGGGGGGCCAGAAAATTGGGTCTTGAGGCATTGCTGGTCTTCTTATACTTGTCAATGAAGGTTGCCGGAGCCCATCCTTCCTTATCGTCAATCTGAATGTACCACCAGCCACTCAAATTCTTTTCAATCACCTGCGAGGGGGATAGACGAAAACACTTAGCAGGGCTGGTACCTGGGCCAGCAGTAAGAAAGGGTGGGGAGAACTATATGCAATGGGAACACTAGTAGCTGTGTCTCTGTGCTCTGCAGATTCTCCTACAAGGCCACAGTGGACTGTCTTGGGAGGCATTACCATGCATCAGAATATCTTACATGGTCGCAGGTTCCTGTACAATTTTGTCTATTTTTTTAAAAGACAGAGCCTTACTAAACTGGCCAGGCTAGCCTCTAATTCTTGGGCTCATGCAGTATTTTCATCTCAGCCTCTAGCAATGGGACTACAGCTGTGTGCCAATGTTCTGGTAAGTTTTTTTTTTTTTTTTTTTTCTTTTTGGTATCAGGGACCAAACTTGGGGCCTTGTGGCTTGTGAAGCAGGTGGCAGAACCACTGAGCTAAATCTCTGGCCCTAGCTCGTATCCAGTTTTAGATTATTCTAAAAGTAGTCCCTTGAGATATAGACTTGGGTACAGGTAGCTAATTTGAAAGGTGGTTCTAGGAAGTACAAGTATGTAAGTAGAAGAGAGAAAGGAAGAGGAGAAGCCAATTGTGAGCAAGCTATTGCTCTTGGTCTAGTGGTATTGAAACTGCCAAGTACATTCTGAAAGATCATGTAGACGGTATCTCAGAAGGGTTCTTCTGCAGGCAGGGCATTAACCTTTTGCCTTGCTAGGAAGTAGGCATGTTCAGCCTTCAGGGACCTGTGTGCAGCTGGAAGTCAACACAGATCAGGATACCATCACCACCTGGTGCAATTCTAAAGTAGGCAAAATCCACAGAGAGCCAAAATGACCCTTGGTCCTGACTGATTTGGTTGAGCACCAGTTGAAGTAGCTGGCTGAAGTTTATAGAGACCTCACAATGCGAAACATGTCTATATTTAAACATGAGAATCACATTTAGCTCTCTGTTTACAAAGAGGGGAACTGAAGCTGACGGAGTGGAACAGATTTTCATCTCTTATTTCCATCCCCCTCCAAAATCCATTCCCACTGAATGGAATGGAATGGAGGATGGAATCATCCATATTACTAAGATCTCACTTCATGTCTCTTTTGGTTCCTTTTCGGCTGAATCCACGGAGGTGAAAGGAGCACAAGCTGTATGTTACGGGCTGAACTGTGTCCTCTCCAAATCCATATATCGAAGTGTTCCTCCAGTACTTCCAAATGTCACACAGTATTTGGACAGGGCCTTTAAAGAGGTAATTCAGTTAAAGTGTCATGAGGGTAGACTGTAATCCAATCTGACTGGTAACTTTTTAAGAAGAGATGTGGTTAAGATGAGGACATAGCAAGAAGGTGGCTATCTGCAAGCCAAGGGAGAGACCTCAGGAGAAACCAAACCTACAGATACTTACATCTTGAACTTTTAGCCTCCAGAGCTTTGAGAAAATAAACTGTTGTTTAATATACTCAAAATGTGGTACTTTGCTATGGCAGCTTCAGCAAACAAATACACTTTAATTTCCCCTGAGGTCTGTACACAGCGATCTGATTAATGCTTACAACCTTCCTATGAGATAGGGATTGTGATCCTATTTTATAAATGCAGAATTAAGTCTCAGGAGAGCTAAGGAACTGGCAGAAAGTCATGCAGAAAGTCAATGGTGGAAGAGAGAGTCAAAAGTAGGCAGGTAGCCTTCAAAGGTGGAGCTAGTGGCACGGCCATCCCTGTCTCTTACATGGAAGACCTGCTTGGGACGGAGCCATGTCTGCAGTGGCACCTGCTGAAGGGGCTGCATGCATAGTCTGCTGTTGGCTTGCAGCCACAGATGCAGCAACAGGATGATGGGATCTAGGGCTCCACACTCGCTGCTTGAGTGGTCCTGGGCAAGCCACAAGCCTCAGATTCCAATCACAAAAGGGGGTGATGATAAGAACACACGCTTGCAAGATTTTACTGATGACCACAAGAGCTAATGCATGCCCTTAGCACTTAGGAAATATGATCTATTATTAAATTCAGCTGGAGGTCAATGAGAAAAGCAGGATGCACTGGACTGGAAGCACTTAGTGTACCCCCTTGGACTCTATTCCAAATAGGGAGATCACCAGCTTATAACACTGGGCAGCTCTGCTAACAAAGGCAATGCAGGTCACACAAGTCATAACCAGCATGTCTACAACTTCAACAGAGTCATGTACATGAAGGAATAAAAACAACACAATAATCAGTGTATGTTTATCAATGAGGATTGGTTAAGCTTATTCTCTACTCAAAGTTCTGTGGCTGAAGCTCTGGATATTTATGTTCTTACCATACCTTATGGGGGTTTTGTGTACTAGAGAGAGGGCAAGAACAACAGTAAATAAAAGCAAATGCAAGATGTCAAGAATGAGGGATAAAGCTGGGCATGGTGGTATACGCCTGTAATCCTAGTACTCGGGAGGCTGAGGCAGGAGGATCGCTGTGAGTTAGAGACCAGCCTGGGCTATACAGTGAGTTCCAGGTCAGTCTCACTACATAGTGAGACTCTGTCTTAAAAAAAAAAAAAAAAAAAAAAAGAAAAAAAAAAAAGAATGAGAGGTAAGAAAAGAGCCTGGGCTTTAAAACCAGAGATCTGAGTTCAAATCTAAGGTCTACTACTTACTAACTCTGCGACCTTGGGAAACTACCAAAAATTTTGGTTCACCAACGGTAGCATTTGACAAAAATTTGTTTTTGCATCAGGTGACAAAGAGGACTGTGGCCATCTTTCCCACACAAACAAAAATGTGGCCATTTTTTCCAAAATCGTAGAACAAATTACATTTGTGAACTGAGGCACCGCTATAATTTACCTCTTTCTGAGTTTCAAGTACCTTATCTATGAAACAGCTAATGATATTGATCTCTCGGGATTTCTGGGAAGGTTATCGATTAGGTGAGGAACCAAAGAGATACCTATCGACATCACTACTACCGCCACCCTCATCATCATCTACAAAACATGTCTTAAAGATAAGTGGTCCAGACAAGAAACTAAGGTGTGCCTGGAAGCCCTACCGCTAGGAGCCTGCGGTTCCATTCATGAATTTTGAAGACCATGATGATGTTGAAATGAACCAGGAAGGAAAAGTTGAGAAGGGAAAACAGCATATAAAATTTATTAGAAGAAAGGAACATGTGATTAAGCCAGAAACTTTAGTTAGCAACTCTTTGCTCCAGTAAGTCCCTCGGGTCCCTACTGGGAGAGCTTCTGTTGACATCAAGGAACTGTAAAGCAAAGAAGTGGGTTGTACCTGTGCTTCCTGAAAAACAGTCAGGTATATGAGCTTTTCACTGGATCAGCTTTAGCAAAAATGCACGAGAAAGGAATAAGGGGGATGGTTCTGGTTGAAGCGTCAGCAGGTTCAGAGGGAGACTCCTTAACACCTCCAGAAAATGCCAGGCATTTATGCAGTCCCTGTCGCCTGCTGCGTCTGCCTGCACCTCAGCACACTGGGGTAGACATCTGAACATTCTGAGCCAGGGAGCGGTAGGGCTTTTGGCAAATGTTCAGTTTGCCAGCATGCTCAAACAATGATGTGTATTTGTAGAAACTGCTGGATACTCTTGCAGTGCTGGGGATGGAACTTGAGCCTTTGCGTGCTAGGCAAGGGTTCTACTACTGAACTACACCCCCAGGCCCTCAAGGCTGTAATTCTTTCGCCTTAGTACGAGGAATTGAACTGAGGGAGCACTGAGCTGTATCTCCAGGTCTTTTTATTTATTATTTATTTTGAGACAGGATCACACTAAGTTACCCAGGCTGGTCTCAAACTTGTGATTCTGCCTCAGCTTCTTCAGCAGGTATTTCAGGGGGAACTGAACCTTAGTGTCCAGCTAAGGCTATGATTTAAATAAGAAGCTTTTATGTTTTCAGCCCTCTGGGAAGAAGCCCCTTTATAACATGCAATTTGGACTTCTGGTTTCAAGACAGAGACAGAGTGAACAGCACTTCCCTCTTACTGCAACAAATGCAGGGAAAGAAATCAATGAATCAAAGCCAAACTCAGAAGAAGAAAGAGTAGAAACTGCTGGGCCAGGAATTGCAAGGAATCTCCATAGTGATTCCTCATCATTTTCTGGTACAGGGGCTGCAGCCCAGAACTGCTGTGGGGAGTTTTGATGTAAAAGATCCCAGAGCTTAGGAAGGGGAGGCTCAGGAGCAACAGACAGGTGAGTCACTGGGACACAACAGAAGCAGCCAGGTTGGCTGACCTGCTCTCAGCCATTCACCCCATTCTTGTGAGGCAGGTGGAGGAAAGGAGGAGAAAGCCTCCAGGTGGAAACAATTGATTTGCAGGCCTGAGTTATAATCTCATGACACTACTGAGCAGCTGCTGAAGTGCCGGAACTGGTACTGAAGCCAACGAGAGCCGACCGATCCTCAGGTCCACTTCCGGAGCTGTTTGACTGTCTGAGGCCTTATCTTGTATAGTACCAACATCACAGAAAGAACTGAAACAAATACTAACCACACTACAAAGAACTGACAACTGAGGAAAGAGAGTTAATAAATAATAGATCTACGAGTTAAAAAGCATACTATCCTCAGAAAAATACAGGAGGCCATCAAGTTCATAAAGGAAAAAGTGAAACAGGAGCAATTAACTATGAAAAAGAATAAGAAAGAGCTCTTGGAAATTGATGAAATAAACAATAGAATGAACAGCTGCAGTTCAAATTAATGAGCTGAAAGAGCACAGTGTTTCAAGAACGCAACACAAAAGCCAGGCGCAGGGGCACATGCCTTTAATTTAAGCACTCTAGAAGGCTGAGGCAGGAGGATTGAAAGTTTAAGTCCACCTGGGAACCCTAGTGACTTAGCAAGACTCGGCCTCAAAATAAAAATAAAAAGGCATGTGGATGTAGATCAGTGTGAAGGTCCTGAGTTCAATTCCCACTACAAAAACAAAACAAAACACACCCCCAACAGCACAAAGGGATGAACATAAGATAATACAAGAGTAGTTAATAAAAGTTATTAGATATTGGAAAATAGATTTC